TAAAGTCTCCGAGGAGGATTTGCTCTCCCTGTTCATTCTGGAGGGCATTCCTGACTGCGGTGAGCTGCTCAGGGATTTCTTCGATGGTGTGAGATTCCGGCGGGGGGTTATAGGCGACATGTAATACCACTTCTTTCTCTTCCTCGCCGATACCCACCTTCAAGCCTACCGAGACCAGGTATGGCTTGACTGTGATCACCCGTAATCTCTCCGCTAGGTATTTATACTATTTTTATATCTATTCTCTTATAATATTTTTACTTATATATTACGGCCGTTTTATAAGAAAAGACGTTATTCTTAACGATCTATATCTCTTAATTAGAATACTTTACTTATAGTTAATAGTAAAAGAAATATAGAAGAGATCGTAGAACAGTCTATTAATAATAATATTAATTAACGTCGTTATTTATATATTTACTACGAGTTAAGTCTTAATAAGTAAAGATCTTCTTAATAGACTTTTAGTAAAGACGATCTCGTTAACTAAGTTCATCTACTTACGTTTATTATTCTCGTTATTAATATAATCTATAATATCTTAAAAGATACGCTTCTTCTTAGTACTCTCTTAAAGTATTCTCTTTCTTTTAAGATTAATCTCCGTATCGATCTATATTCTTTAATATAAGCTATTTAATAGCCTTATTCTTCTCTTTCTACGTCTTATTCGACTAAAACTTAATAGAATATAACTCGCTTTAATCTATATAAATAGTATATTAAATTATAAAGTTAAACTAAATCTTCTATATAACATTAGTGTCACGAATCGTTCCTTCGAAAAGTCACGTGTTCGATCAGAGTTCACTGACGTGCGGAAGAAGAGGCTTCGATGCGTATGCTAGAGTAAGGGTGTCTGTATTCAGAACGAAAACTATTGATGAAATGTATCACCTAGTTTGTGAACGAAGTTGACTACGAAGGAAAGACTACGAAAGGTGGACGAAGCCCACGACTATATAGACATAGGAAACTCGTAGTGTCCCTTCCTGCTCTGTCTGCTCCTGATGCTCTGTCGGAGCAGCAGAGCAAACAGATCACTTTCCAGGAGTCACGTGACGTCGTGGTCCTGCGCTCACGTGCCCTGTCCCGGTATACCTGCCTCATCCCTTTCACCTGTCAGGCGGTAGGCAAGTATGCCAATATCTTGATCCTGACAATTAGCTCTCTTAAAATACTCGTCTCTCTATCTCTATAGTCTATTAATTTTAAGCTTTTTTCTAGAATCACTACTAATCTCTATTAAGATCTTATTTATAAATATAAATATCGTATTCTTTTAAAGCTTATATAACGTCTAGATCGAGAAGCGAAGATAATAATTAATATAAATTATTAAGAGCGTAGAAATAAGAGATTAGACGACTTATATAATAGTCTATAAATTTTTAGAATCTTAATACTATTTAGCAACTTATTCGAGAATTATATAACTTAGTTTTACGCCGCTCTATATCTAATAAAGATAAGTAATCTTAGTAAGATTAAGAGTATTATACTTAAGAATAAGCTAATGTATTTATTAAGACTTTTATAAATTCTTCTTTATATAAGGCGTATAACTAGTATACTTCTTAATATTAATAGTAGCTAGAATATCTCGAAACTTAGTTAGCGAGAATATACGATTAATAGCGCGTTACTATATCTAATAGTAGGTTCTAGGCTCTAGCTCGAGTTTACTAGTAATTTAGGTAAAGATAAGAGCAGAGAGAAAGAAGCGGAGAGTAATAACGATAACGCGTAGTTATAAAGGCACCTCTTTACTACGAGGAGGTATTTTAATCTCGTACGGCGGCGACGACGATAGTAATAATAGTAATAACAGTAATACTAATAACAGTAATACTAATATCTTCTATATTAGACCCACTATAACGCGAATAAACGCCTATAATTAGTCGATAGGCCCTATCTCCACCTATAGGGGCTGATTGGACTTTGAATAAATCTCTGAACATGGCCTCGTACTGTCCTAATAGACACTACCCCGTACAGAGCACAACAGACCAGGGGTCCATGCATATCACCTATGCACTCCGTACTTATGTATCCGTACTCCGTACCTATGTACTTACATGTACCCCTGCGGTTGCATGCATGGCTAGGCTAGGCTAATAGGCTAGATGACCTACAATTTCCCTCTGGCCAGAAACTTGAGCGGCACGTCGACATGTCTCGCGCGAAGATATTCGGCGCAGTTCTTACCCAGGAAATCCACACTGGCAGTACTCGTGGCACCACGATCGAGGAGATTCCGGAACAAGAAATGCACGGCGCGCAGATTCGGCAGCTCGAAGCGCTCGATCTCAACCCTGGGCACGCACTCCTTGCCGAGGAGCAGCTTGACCATGTCGACCGACAGCAAGGTCCTCAGCCACGCGTACTCGTCGGCGTGCCTCACCCAGAACCCGCAATTACAGTCGGAGCCCTTGTCGCCGGAACGGGCGTGGACGACCGATCCCAGCGGGGCACGCTGCGTCGGGCCGAACTTGGCCAGGTCGATGGGCAGCGCGGTCGAGGGCTGGCTAGGCTGGCGCTCGGGAAACACGTGGGTGAGCGTCGGGGGTGGGATCGCGGTGTCTTTGCCGTCGAGATGCACGACGTGTTCGACTTCCGACTGCGGGAGCAGCGAGACGTAATACTCAAAGAACGGCTTGGGGATGCCGAGGCGAAAGTCCAGATGGAACGTCCCACCCGGGTACGACTGCATGACGTTGTCCATGATGGGCCTCAGAAACCTCTGCGGCGCAATGTCGGCAGACTGCCGGGCTTGCACGAATACGCGAAGCACGGCCGTCGCAGCGTTCTGGCTGTCTGCGTCGACGGCCGGCGCGCCCAGCACACTGAAGGACAGAAGGGAGAACTTGTCCGAATACGGCTGCAGCGACTTGCGCAGCTGCGCTTCCGTCATGCGCGCCTTTGCTGCCACGTCGAGCCCCGTGATGAAGTACATGGCCTCTGCCTGGAAGCCGCCACGAGCAGTGAGCCCGACTTTGGTGGTAGGCGGCGGCGGGAGTGCCTGGACGCCATGGACAGCGACCCGGTCCGGACCGAGCGGTTCGAACCAGATCTGATCCAGCACGGCTGTCACGTCAGAATTGAAGTACCATGGTCCCTGGATCTCGTAGAGCAGCTGCGCCGAGCAAGTGTCGACTGTGACTGCGCCGCCGGAGCCCTTTTGCTTGGTGATGACCACCTGGCCCTCCTTGGAGATCTCGGCGATCGGGTATCCAATGTCGACCCAGCCCGCGGCTGTCGTTTCGATCGACTTGAACCCGCTGAAGTTGCCGCCTGTGACATAGCAGCTGCATTCGATGAGGTGACCGGCGATGAAGGCGTTCGCGAGCTCCGTCAATTGCGACCGCTGCCACCGATGAAACCAGAAAGCAGCGCCGATCACGGGAGACGCGTCGGCGACACGCCCACAGATGACGATCTGTGCGCCCTGAGAAAGTGCTTCGGCGATTCCAAGGCCTCCAAGATATGCCTGTGCGTAGATGGGTTTGAACTGCCAGCCAGCCAGAACTTCGCCAGTGTAAATGTTTTTGAACGGGGAAGTTCCCGCTTGCAGTGCGGCGTTGATGGCCGGGAGCACCTCATCTCCAGATATCCAGGCCACTTTGATACCTAGCTTCTTCCTCCTGATCATATCGTTGACGACATTGTACAGGGTCTCCGTATCGGTGTTGCCGGCGTTCGCAACCACCTTGATGCCGTACTTGGCGATATCCTCCAAGGCTGGCTCAAGCGCTTCCAGGAACGGCGCCTCATAGGCCGGGCCCGCACCCACAAAGGGTGTGCCATGGTCCGCAGCCAGGGATTTGTTGTCCACCTTTCTGGCCGCTCCGATGGTCATATTGACCTCGGACATGTAGTCTGAGATGATCACGTCCACAGGATCGCTTGGATATGCTCTGGCAAAGGCTGCCAGGGCATGGCGGCGGTCTGACACAGAGCCAGACGCGCCTAAAAAGTCAGTCTGGTACTAGATACAAAGGAGGAGTGACCTGCCTGCAATCCGAATTGGTCTCGAGGCCATGACAATAGTAGTACCAGTGGTGATGGCAGCGGCTGCGGAGGGCGATGTCTGAAATTGCTTCAGTATGTCGTTGTCGACAAGACTAGACCTGGACAGACCGGATTGGAGGCTTGTCAGCCTTAAAAAGCAGGAAGCCCTACATCTTGGAGCGAAGGGCGCTTCTTGACCGCTCGTAGTGAAACAATACTTCTCCAGGCTGAACTGAGAAGCGTTGGAGAAGTTGTTGAAGATCCCGAGGTCTGGAAATGCTTGGCACGAGGAGATGGGCAGCCGAGCCGGGCCAGGGGCATGAAACGCAGTCCGCACCCGGCCGGTTCATGTCTGATCTGGGTCTACAAGCAGGATAGTGCTGGGGGAGGTGATGATGGGATCTCAGGTCACAATCAGAAACAACCGAGGCTGTGGTGGCACTGGCGATCATTGGACACGGACATTGTTTCATCAGGCCATCAAGGAACGAAATGCGCGTCAGATCAGACCAGATCACATCACATCATATCGTGCTCATATCAGCTTCATTCAATATCCATTGTGTGTGTTCGTATGCTTGGTCTGTCACACTCCGGCTGTCTCTGGACATGGTGGCACCACCATGTAAGCATCCCTAGCTGAAAGACTCTCTTGACGTTGTAGTCCACGTGGGACAGAAAGAAAGCCACCGGCGCCAATTTGAACCTTGCCCTTGCCTGGGTTGCCGGTTGCCACGATCCGTCCATGCTCCTGTTCCATGCCGTTACTGCTTTCAAGCACATGCTGATCTCATTGGTATCGTCACGTTCAACCAAAAAAGCGAATGCTATGATTGTGTTGTACACAGCCGACAGACCATTCCCGCAATAATGGTAAGGGTCATCGCGCGATGGAAATGAAAGAACTTTTGTTGGACAAACATCCTCCCATACCGACGGTGACGCTAAAGTTAGATTGCGTTGCTTTCAATCACATAAGAAAACGCCTGCTGTGCCGACATGCCCGGAATTTCACTGTCGCCGAGTCAGTAATCGCGGCCTCATCCAACAGGGGTCGCACCAACCTTCATCGGCGCATAGCTGCCGTATGAGTGGGCGGGAGGCATGCCCATGGCCGGGTAGATCGGTGGAGGAGGCGCTGGGCGGTAGGGAGTGCCAGCGGGACCGGAATTGTTCTGGCTTCGTCCCCAACTCAAACGAACGCGCGAGTTCCCAATAGGATAGCCCTGCATCTGATTGATCGCCATTTCCGCAGCATGGCGTTGGACAAACTGAACAAACCCGCAGCCTTTGCCCGGGGGGATCTTCACATAGGTGATCTCTCCAAACCCCTGGAAAAACGAACGCAGCTCGTCCTCTGTGACATAGCCAGACAACCCTCCAACAAAGACAGTGGTATTGTTCGGGTCGGTGAACTGGTTCATGGGTTGGGGGCTCTGCTGCTGTTGTCCGTAATACGGCATTGGCGGCCCTCCCATCGGTGGGTATGCCATGGGACCTGGAATGCCCATGTTGGCACCACCTCCCATTGGCAATCCCTTGTTCTTAGGAGTGGCAGTGGAGATGCGCATCGGGCGGTTGCCACAGTAGACACCCTGCATCTCGGTCAGAGCACGCTGCTGGTCACTCTCGTCGGAGAAGCGGACGAATCCGTAACCGCGCGACATGCCAGAAAGAGGATCGGTCATGATCTTGGCTGACTTGCAAGAGGGGAAACGGCTCTGGAAGAGGGAGACAAGAACGTATTCGTTGACCTCGGGGCCCAGGTCACCGACGAAGATGGAGTACTCGGGACCACGGTCGTCTCGTCGATCGGCCAGGCCACCACCCGTAGCCCAGTTGAGTTTAAAAGGCCGGGTGGAGTTGGGCATGGGCTGACCGCTGAGCTGAAGCGCCTTGGCAGCTGCCTGAGGAGAAGAAAAGTCGACAAAGCAATAACCAGCGTTGCTACTATCATGAGTTCAGAGACGTGAATGAGAGGACCACTCTAACCACTTACCCAGAAAATTTGTCGCGAATCATCTTGACACTGACTTGTTCACCCATTTGGAACCACAGGTTGCGGACAAAGTTCTCGTCGATCCAGGGTTCAAGCTCACCCATCCTGCCGATCTATGTCAGGTGCAACACAAACAAACGAATGCGATCTTGACTCACCAGAGAGTGGTCTTCTGGTCGCCTCCTGGACCGCCCTGAGGCGCTCCATTCCCGTCTGGGCTTTGGAAGGCAAGTTGCTGCTGCCCAGAAGGGTCGGTTGGCTGGCCTGGAGCAGCGCCGTCTTGAGGTGGAGGAACTTGACCCGGCACACCCTCCTGCTGAGGGTTCGGGAATTGGCCGTACTCGAAAGACATACTGAGTGACAGATTACGAGAAGAACGGGCTTGCAAAGCTTAGGTACAACTCTGATGGGATGGTCAGACTCTTGTCACAGTCGCAATGATGGGAGAAATCTCTTTGCAGGCCAATGTCATGCTTTTCTCTTGTAGGGGCACTGAAACGTACCGAAGATCAGGTGGAGAAAATTCCTGTCACAAGTGACTCGCCGTGGAGGAAGAAGTGAATGATTATGACAACTTTGCACCTCGAAGACTCGACCAACTTTTCGCAGCGAAAGAATATTCGAATGGCGCAGTCTTCAAAAGCTGGCAAGGAGCAATGATAGTAAAGGAGTTCGGAGAATCGAATGGGTTATTCAAGTCTGCAAGAACAGAATGTCAGCGCAGGTGATTCACTTTCAGAAAGGTTCGGGCATGTGATAGAGAGCGCTCCTGGCACTGAATGACTGGAGCTCAAAGCTGTGCCAGGCTGTCCCGCCGCATATCTCTTAACTGGACCTCATCGGCCCCCGAAGATGTGTTTATTTTCCCCTTGCATGCGAGCCAGATGTAGGTTGGATTGGCCGGTTTCCCGTCGCATGTGGCCACACTCGACTTCTTCCCCCGATGCCTCCGTAGGTGGTGAAACCCCTCGTGTGTATTCGCAGCAGGCACAACAGTCCCCCTCTTGGTTTTGCGCGGGGGCTTGCAGGTGTTGGGTGGGCGTGGAAGAGTTTTCGCACATACCGGATCAAATGCGCAGTGGTTAGATGACAGCCAAGGCTACAGATCAGACCGCAAACTCGAGCAACTCCGAGAAGCAGGCGCCAATGGAAGTAAAGCAGGAAAGCAAGTAGCACTGCAAGACTAAGAGGACGCGCAGACAACAAGCGAGGTCACAATATGGGCAGGGTGGTGAGCGGGAGAAAGAAGAGAAGAGGAAGAGGAGGGATGGGGCGGGAGAGTGGGCGAGCAGCACTATTAGTGAGGTAAGGCAGCTCCGTAAGGTTTTTGGGTATGGAGAAGAGGGCGCGGAGCAGGCCTGGCAGCCAAAAGGCGCAGGATGAGAGAGGGCCTTGTCGCTAGACTCTGCTCCTAGACTGCTAGACTGCTAGACTCCTAGACTCTTCCTCCTAAACGCGGCAGCAAGGGCACGACAGGCACACACACAGACACGGCAAGCAAGACAGACGCCGCATGGTGATTCGATGGACGAGCGGGTTTGCTGGAGTCGCGGTGGCCCTGAGCTCCTCTAGGTGGGATGGAGACTACGACGACAGCTGCATAGACAGCGATCAGACAGACACACCAGCTGCGACTGCGCCAGCGACGCTCTATTCAACCGCCGTCCACCTGTAAGGTTCGTGCCATGCCCAATAGTCCTGCCCATCATCGATCATTACGGACTGCCGTGCCAGGGATGGGACGGGGTGAAAAGATAGAGTTGGGAGTAGAAGTGGTCGCAGTGAGATGGGCTTGGGCGCAGGCAAAACTTACCTAGGCATCATCGATAGCTGCAAGCTGCAACAACTGTCGTCAACTACTCCGTACACCATCTCGAAGCTATTCTCGCTCCTCACATTCGTTCGAGTCCCTCCCACGCGTCTCTTTGTTCAATCAACATTGTAGAGTACGTACAGAGGAGACCGCATCCGATGTTTGCACACGCGAACCGAACTATCACCCCTCCCTTTCCGATCGGCAGCACTGCACTAACGAAAGCCTCCCGCCGGTTGCCTGTCGTTCTTCCAGCCTCTCTAGAGACACGATGCTCAGCTCGCATTTGATGTCACCATCCTCCAGGCCCTCAAGACGGTCCAGTCACAAACAACAAAACAATTGCCCGAGGGATCTAAATGTTTCAAGTCCGCAGAAGAACACGATACACGTGCCTTCTCGACCATATATACTCAATGGTGTCTACGTACATATAAGCTCCTCTTGGATAAAGACTGCTGGACGCACGAGCCGGCTTTGGAGGAGGGCAACAGATAGGCCGCAGGCGCCCGGAGCAACGTCTGCGGAAGACACCCACCGGCTTCTTCGATGCAGGGCAGTGTCTGCACCTCCAATGCCCCCTGATTGACTTGGCAAGACGCATGTTTAGCTTCCTGACGATTGATTGTCTGACAGCTGTCGTTCCGTTTTGAGCATCCCTTGAGTTCCACGATCATAACAAGAACACCAACTACCACTGGCTGCGTGGAATGCAAGTAGAAAGATAGACAAGCCAATCACTGATGGAACCCCGGCTGGTGTGATGACCTGCATAGCCGGGCAGGCATATCCATCCGCATCAACCACATCTTCCAATGAGTTGATCGAGCTGCCGCGGCCTCGCCTATCTCGCGAACCCCTTGTTGCCCTCTAAGAACACAAACAGAAAATCCCACCGATCGACCATGTGAAAGCCGAGTAAACGACCGCTCATGTACAAATGCATTCGGGAATCAAGAGGACCTTTGGGATCAGGCATGTCATGGTCGGGCAGATGCTGATTGCGTAGACTGCAGCACGGTTTCACCATTGCGGCCCAAAGGGGACGCGGAAACATCAGCCGAGCCATCATTCCTCGTGTGGCATGGATTTACGGTGGGTCGAATTCCAGCTGAGATGGGCGCGCTTGACTCGCAATGGACAGTCGCATGGCCTGAAGAGTCACCCTAGACTGGTCCGAGCTTCCTGCCACAGATACACACAAAGCCCGATAGGAGCCTCGCGCCGTTTGTCCAGAGTACGGCTCCGGGTTGGAATTCTGGGCATTTCCTTGCAACACAATGGACGAAATGGCGAGGTGATCTGAGCTGACCTGACTTGCCACTTTACCCCAGTTCTTTTCCATCTTTGCTGGATCCAAAGTGCTGGGATAGAATGCAAGTCATCCTCCACTGCATCCCAGATCGAGATCGGTCTTTTTGTGCTTAGCGCGCACCCCAATGTGGCCGACTGCGTCGGTGGCTTGTCCCCCCTGAGCGCGCTTTTAGCTCTTCAGCCGACGCGTCTCATCCATGCCTATGCCTTCGGATCTTGGGTGACCGTATCGAGGGGTTGGCGGATACGATGAAGAGGCAGCAGATGGGAGTTGGCCAGACCTGGACATGGCCACAGGAGGCAGATGAATGAAAGAGACTACTACTTTCCAGAGATGTCTGCCAGAAAGGCGCGAAAATCACATCAATCTACGTTGTATTAGGGGGGTCCTGGCAGTAAATCGTGCGATGGAACGGCAACGCTTGTTCGTTGCAGTTGCTTGTTTGTCTTCATTTGTATTTGCTATCCGCGTGCTCTGCATACCGTATGTATGCCTTCATTGCTCGGCAAAAACTTGCATTCCCACGACTCTGCCATAAGCATCCAGCTGTCGCAATGCTCCGAGGAGTACGGAGTACGTGAGCCATGTCGCTCAGAAACCCTAGAATCATCGCTACAAACTCCTTCCCATCGATCTGATGCAGGCTATGAATGTCGTAGTTTTCGCCTGACGCCTGACTGCCTCGCTTTGTCGCTTTGATCGAATTGGCCTCATGAATATCAACCTCCCGCTTGCACGCCCGTGATCAATGGACTACCACATAATCAACAACCCATCCCCGATCGATCGTCTCTTCGTATGAGTGGCTCTGATTTCCGCTTCCACGCAATACTATCTTATGTTGTGAAGAAGTCCGCTCTCAGTCGTCTTGAAACCTCGCCTCGTTGGATTGATGCCGTTCACCCCACACCTGGACCACCCTGAATTCGTCTTTGGGGATCTCGCTGTCTTGCTGGACGTCTTTGTGTTTGCCAGTCTGCCAGTTTGCGAGCGTCGGAGAAAACAGGCTTGAAGAACAGGGGGCTGGAAGATATGTCTCACGTCTTGCTTTGCAATGCAAGATCGAAAAGCATTAAAAAAAAACAGAACGTGCGTGAATCCGGAGCCATGCCGATATGAAAAGAAGAGAGGACTCAGAAGCAAAAGGAGCGACTTGTCTGTCGACTCGACCTCGATGTCGCCTGTGCAATGTGCTGATGAAAAGAGCCGTGTCGAACCAGCAACAGAATGCCGCCCTTCTTTTTTTTGGTGATAGGAGTACTTTTATGAATTTTTTTTCAGTGGTGTTTTCGATACTTTTGGATGTGTTTGATGAACTTCGAAGATGAGGCGGTCGGTAAGTTGTTCGTGTGAAGTGAGAGGAGAAGAAGAGTCTTGGTGATGCATCTGTGACAATCTGCATACCTAGTATGGCGGGCGCGGAATGCTCTGATCCAAGCCGAAGCTGCTTCAGATTCCATTAGAAAAGTCCGGTATGTTGCGATCGGCAGGCTGCCAGCACGTCTCGCGGGTGAGGTAGCGCACGTCGACAAATCTCTTGTTCTTGGTTCCGATCTTCTTCAAGCAGGCCTCCTCCACAAAACCGAAAGACTCGAGCCACTCCTTCAACCAGACAGTGTAGTCATCTTCGCGATCGTCAATCTTGGCTTCCTTGGAAAAATCTTTGTTTTTCGGCGACAACGATTCAGGCTCTTTGTCGTCCCCATGCCTATTTGTCGTGTCCCAGGTCCGGCCATGTGCAGTCTGCACGGGTTGACTCATACGGTAAACCTGTCCGGGCGTGAACGGTTTGTTGAACGAACGGACTTGGAATATGACTTTGTGAAGATCGCGCCCGCCTCCGCATGAGTACATGTGCTGAGCCTCGGGCGCCACATGGAAGTTGTAGCCACCCTTTCGCATATAACCACGGTCAGTTGCGTCGAGAAGTGTATCCATCAGACACCGTCCGACACCCTGCTTGCGGAACTCTGGAGCGACATATATCTCGATTTCGGCTGTGATGGCTTCGATGTAGTCGCACGCAGACCAGTCGGTAGCAGCGGCCCAGCCAACGACGTTTTCATCCTTGACTACCGCGTTGTAGTTAGGATCGATGTTATGGATTGGGTGGGCTGGGTTGACTCGACGAGGTGGTGGCTTGTCGCGAGCGTTTTTTCGGTTGCGTTCCACAGCCACAATGACTGGCAGACGAGCAGACACGGATGTATCATGGCGAGATTCCATGTCATGTTCAGTGATTTCCGTCAGTTCGCTCGGTCGGATACCGTTGGAAATATGCCAGTTGTATATTCTGGCCATGCCGGCAAAATCCGATCTGACCGCGGGGCGGAGGTAGATGTTCGATTTGACAGGAGCGACTGCAGGAGCTGGCTCGACCGGCTCCGGATCTGCTGCGGCAGCATCTTCTTGCTGCTGCGCCAACACTCGAGCTTCAGCTTCCTTCTTGCTACGTTCCAGGTGTAACATCCGCCTATCGATGAACATCTGAGCTGTCTCGTCCCTGAACTCGCGGCTGCAAGAATCTCTGGGATCGAGCTGGGTGCGAGCCTCGAAGTCAGCCGGGGGTGGTGTCGGGTGTATCATGACTTCTCCATGTTGTCTGAGTGGGTAATTTGCTTTGCTATTGGGGTCGACGATCGTGTCTCTTGACACAAAACCAATACCATCAGGGTGGTTGTCGGGGTTGCGAACCAAATCGGCGGGGAGTATTCCAAACTCAATGTTTGGCGAGTTTTGTTCTTTGGCTGTCTTTGCCGATGCGCTTACACTCTGCATTGTGCGCACTGTGGTTTCACCGAGCCAGCTGTCAAAGCCACTGAGGTACTCGGGAGTGTTGTTGTAGAAACGTGGCCGATACTCCCAATCAAGAGGCGGTGGCTGCATGTTGCCATCCCAGCCGCGAAGGCTCGACTCGCCAACGACTGGCTCTCGGCTCCGAACGAGTCTGCCAAACCCTCCCCCCATTGGTCTGATAGAGTCGTCGTCGCTCAGCTCCTCAGATCCTTCGGCATTGCTGTCTGGCTTGATGCTGGGTGCTTTTATCTCTGCAGCAGTGGCCCACCGACGACGGCCTGACTTGGATGGAACAACCGGAACAGTGATATCAGTGGTACCTTCTACATAAGGTTTGGAAGTAGTACCACCGTCGTCATTGGGTTGATGCCAAGAATGACGAACATCTCGTTTCCGTTCTTGAGATTGAAGGGCTTTCTTTTCAGCGGGAGCCACACGTCCCTGTTGTGATTCACGGATGCCTAAATTGGGGTCGTGCGGCAACAAAGCGTTTGCCCCTCTCGGCAATGGTTCACTATGGTCGACTTCTCCTGGCGGCAGTGGTTTTCGAAGCAAGTCGAGGACATTGAGACCAGTGGTGATGGGCTCACCTTTGGCCTTGCGTCGCATCCGAAGACCGACCTCACGAGTGCCAGCCAGCTGAAGTCGGGCAATTACCTGTTCAGGAGTTTCACCCGCCCTCTTCAGCGTTTCATATGTGGCAGGTGGTGATTTTGCGCCGCTCATTCTCTTTCCTTCAGGACGTGAGGCAACGTGGTTGTATGAATTGGTTCCTGGTTCGGGATCAAGACGCTGCTGCTTGTCAGAAACATTGTTCTGTGCGAAGCTCGAAGCTGAAGGTGGGAATCTTTGGCCATTTGCCACAGGAACTTTCTTCTGAGTAGGAGTACTTGTGTGAGGGTTGTGGTCTGTGACGTTGTGTTCAGAGATGTTCTGTTGGGATTCTGGGCCTCTACAACTGGGATTGACTTCTTTGAGGCTGGGTTCAGGTGCGGTTTTCGTGTCGTGAACAGACTGGGGACCACTTTGTGCAAGACCAGGTGGATTGCTCGGATTGTGGGCTGGATCACGTCCCTGACTTGAGTGACTTGCTTTTGGATGTCCGTAGGCAAACTTGTTGAATTTAGGCAGCTTGTAGCCTGTCGGGGTAGTGGCGCTTGTGACATCTTGACTTGATGTGGACAAGCCTGGCGCGGGGTTGTGCGAAGTGCTCTTCACAATTCCGGCTTCGTTTGAGGCTCGCGATGAAGCTCCCGCTCTGTGATCTGGTGCTGGATGCTTGTGAATCTCGTTTGGAGTTGCCGATTCACTCCGCACCGAGTGCCCAGCTGCCGATTTCGACTGTTGATGTGGCTGTCCTCGAGGTTTCAAGATCCAACCAGGATGAGCTGGTGGAGTTGGAGGTCGAGGTGACTGCTGACAATTTCCGGAAGATCCGTCAGTCTTTGATTTAACCACAGGCCATCCGTAGGCCTTTGGGTTAAAGACAGGCATGTTGGCAGCTGTGGATGATTGTGACTGTGAGAAACAAAGTGTCAGAACGCGGCCGCGAAATAAATAGACGACGAGTCTTCACCTCTCGCGAGCAATTTCTGGAGTGACCTCTTGGCAGCACACTGACACTGTCACCGTCATGTGAAGACCATTTCCGTGAAACTGAAGAAGATAATCCCGAGGAGGAATGTCGCCAATCTGAGCGGCTTTGATCCATGGTGATTGGAGAAGACTTTAGGCTGCAGGTTTGTCCTCAGGCACGACGACCTATGTATGTGCTTATGTAGCTGGCTGTGGTGACCAACTGACGGGATAAAGGTCTCAATCAAGACTTTTTATGAGACAGATCCCCGGCGGGCGATGGAGGACACTAGAAGACTTTGTCTCGGCTTCCATGGTACAATGCTGGTGAACCAGCGGGAACAACGCCCAACAACCAATCGATTGGGCGGATCTCTCACAAAGTTCATGAACATCAAGCGGGGCAACGGTCAAGGAGCGGCAACGATAATGATAGAGTGAATGAGAGATGAGTTCAGGTGCAAGGGCGAGGACCTTTCACAAGGTCCTTTACGCCCTTGATGAGTCTGAGGTCTCTCCTGCAACCTTGAGCCGGATGCCTGACGTTGATTTCCCATATTGGATCTTGACACCCGCCGCTTTATACCATTACTACATCCTGCCTAGCGTGGGAGGTTAGCGCCTTGCTTTGTCCATTCACATGCAGTGCCAGGGTGCGCGAGAAAACAAACAAGACATGTTGCTATTTACAGACGAACTTGTGAGAGCACAGATTGATCGGTGCAAGGGCTCCCCCGAATCCGAATGGCGGAATCTCAGCATATTGCACCGCCTTGAGCCTTGAACCTCCCAGACGGTCCGAGAGCCTTGTGCTCGTGCTCGATGCTTCCACACCAGCCAGCACCTGAACCACCTTAAGCCCGGCATGCTTTCTATCCTCCGCAAGGCCCGGTTGAAGGACAAGGAGATGCGTGTTCTGATGCTGTAGGACGGGGCACTTGCCATTGCTGCCCTTCAGACCCACTGATTGCAGCTGCAGAGGACTTGATAGTGCCGGCAAAACCACCATAGTCAAGAAGATCATGAACGAAGATGTCAACACTGTTAGTCCGACACTGGGCTTTATCATTAAGACGATCAATTTTCGTGGGTGAGGCGGACCATCAAGGACGCGCACCCAGCATCACTAAGGGATCATTCTGCAGGTACAAGCTCAATATTTGGGATGTTGGTGGTCAAAAGACAATTAGGTCATATTGGCGCAACTATTTTGAGAAAACTGATGCTTTGATTTGGGTGGTGGATGGCACCGATCGTCTGCGAATCGACGACTGCAAGGCCGAGCTCAAAGGGCTGCTGGTGGAAGAGGTATGTCGAATGCAATGTGGTCAACGGTCTTGCTGCTGACACCGTCAAGCGTCTGGCTGGCGCAAGTCTGCTGGTCTTTCTCAACAAGATCGATGTGAACGGGTGCATGAGCGTGGAAGAGGTGACACGGGCTCTGGAACTGGACAGGATCCTGACCCATCATTGGGTTGTTGTCCCTTGTAGCGCCATGACAGGGGAGAATCTAGAGAAAGGGTTGGACTGGGTGGTGCAGGATGCGAAGGACCGACTCTTTCTCTACTAAGACATGAGATAGAAGAGGAAGCAAGGAACAGGACAATTTACTCTCTACCCCCGTACTCCGCTAGGTGCTTTGTACATAGGTAGGTGTTTGAGGATGCGAAACAAGCGCCGTGTAAAGAAGCTACATGGGTCCCTGGCGACACACAGGCCGCAAAGTGACCATAGACGAGCTCGGCGGCAGAGCGCCAACAGGCGGCCTGAAGGCCACAAGACCGGCCCTACCGCTTAAACGCAGTCCCTGGAGAAGACGAGGCGTAGATTTCAAGAAAGACAAACAACACTATTCAATTCTTCAAAGGGGGGGGGCGCAGTTGAGGTTGGAAGATTCTCAACTCAGCTGCCCTTCGGAAAGACGCGCCCGCCCGGCTTTGCCTCTCGCAACCGGCAAATCCACATCAACAACAACAACAAGAAGCCTCCGAGCAAACCCAACAAAAACACCCACACAACAACCCCGAATCCCTGTTGTGCCACTCCCACGCAAAGCTCCCTGTAGCTTCGGTCGCAAAAGTTGTGATCAAATCCTTGCTCTATTTTGCAGTCGAGCGCTGGCCGTTCCTTCACCCCCTCGAATGATCGACTGCCCCGAGCAATGACTGCGCCATAGACGATTAATTCACTTCTCATGCCAATTTTCCGCGATCGGACACTGCACCCTCACCACATCAACCATGAACGCGTCCAATGATGGCTCGGAGTCGGTGGACCAGTTTCTGGCTCGCATTGCCAGCCTGAACTCGAAACAGGGGCTTGAAGAGGCAGAACGGTCTAGAAAGATGGAGGAAGAAATGTTGCAGGCTAGGCGGGAGAGACAAGCAAGAAGGGCTGGTGCGTTGGCTGATCTGGGATCTGTTAAGAAGTGTTCATACGACTCTAACTATGATAGAACGTGCGCGCTCACTCTCCCCGTCCAAAACCGGACCTACGCCGTCGCTCCGACCTGGAAAAGACATTCCCAAGCATACTCAAGGGATTGAACCTCCTGTCACTCTTGCATCTCCTCTTAAATCTCAAACACTAGGCCGGTCCGGCTCGATATCCCCCAAACTAAGTCGACCTACTGTCTCCGACCTCGACTTTTCAAGGCCCTTGCCCCCTTCGCCGCTCAATGACGAGCCCTCGGTGCCCGGCCCTCCTCCGAATGCAACAGCTCTATCTAGAAGCGGGACTCTGTCTTGGAACCAAAGACCATCGCCCAGAGGTGTTGGCTCAATACGACCACGGCCACAGTCTGTTGCCTCGATTCCCGACTTCAATGCAACCTTGGACACAAGTAAACAGAAAGGGGCAGAAGAGATATCAAGGAAAGACATTGCAGAATCGTTGGGGGCAAAAGATCCATCATGGTTCCGCCAGACATCAGATCGAGGGGCAGGGTCGGCGGCCTACCGCAGGGGTGAAAGTGAGGCAGAGATGTCCGGCTTCACAGCTCGGAGCATGAGGCTTCCAGGCCTGTCCAGGGACCCAGCTCCAGCTGACGAACATGAGAGGGTAGAGACAGGTAGAACAACACCGTCAGCGTCGTCCACGAAACACACATTATCTTCGACGTCTGACCAGCCACCCGCGCCCAACCTCGAATCCTCGGGGAGACCTCGCCCGGTCTCGTTGGTGTCAGAAACCCCTTCCAAGTCTGTGGCTCTGGAACTACCGACCTTCAAACCACTGGATCTCAGTCTCTCACTGGAACCAGATGCGATCGGTCTGTGGCGAACCTCTAGCGTCTTATCATCGGCCGGACGACCTCCGTCTCCGACCAAGGGTTTGGGTGGGTTCGTGCAGAGTGCAATGATGAAGAGGTCAGATAGTGTGAATAAGAGGTGGAGTGTACAAGCAAGTGCTGGACTGAAGCGCGGAGACTCTGTAGCCGCCGCATCTAGGCCTGCACACCTCTCTGGCCCGTCCGAGTACAGCCCTGGACATAGTCGCAGCTCGTCCAAAGATACAAGAGGGGTCCGGGATGGATACTCGTCTCCTTTGTCAGGCTCTAGGCCTGTTTCGAGCCACGGTGCAGAACCAGTCCCTTTCGCCAAAGGTCGCCCTTTCCCGCAACTACAGGACGAGTCAGCGCCTTCGCCCAAAATTCAAACGGAGGTTGAACAGCGTGGCCGTTCAGAGACACTGGAGTCTGTCGAGCGGCAACGCACCATGCGGAAAACAACGCCACCCCCGCCAGAATCACCTTTAGGTCGCAGTCCGTCTAAAACCATGGACCCTCGCCGTTGGAGCCCGACAAAAGCCAGCTGGCTGGAAAGTGCATTGAACAAGCCCGACTCGCCCAAATTTACTCCCGCCAAAGTCGAAACGCCTGCTTGGAGACTAAGTATGCAGCGCTCAAAGCTAGACGAACAATCCCGATCGTCTGACCCTGCCGGTGTCGCTAGCCCAAAGCCTGCTCTGGCGCTGAAGCCGGTCAGTTCGCCACCATTGAGTTCGTCCGAGACAAAGGATGGTAAACCTTTTGAAACGGATCTCGCAAAGCCAGCACCTGGGAAGGCTAGCCCGCAGAAAACCGCTCTGAAACCAGACTTGCCTCTGGCCGATATACCCGTGCACCCGACGAAGGAAGCTACCCTCAAAAAGGAAGAGAAGCCTGTGGTCCCGTCTAAGCGCAACATCACACCTGTGCAATTGAAGTCATCCTCGAACGGTCAAACCGAACCCGAGGATTTAGTTTCTACCGGGCAAATCAAGACGACAGAAGCCAATGCAAGGTCTCAAAAAACCGCCGACGATGGCCCAAAATCAGAGACCAAGCCCCCAGTTGTGAAGTCAAAGCCCCAGACCCCTCCCAAAACCGACTTCAGAGCCAACCTTAGACCCCGTCAAGCACCATCGGCTGCAGGCAATGATACGGAGCCTGAATTCAAGGCGGTGTTTGGCAAATTGAAACGGACCCAAACTCAGCATTATGTGGCGCCCGATTTACTCAAAGACAACATCACAAAGGGGAAGGCAGCTTTAAATACCACAGGAGGCCCGCAGAAAACTAAACATGTCGATGAACTCAAAGAGAGTATTTTGCAGAAAAAAGAGGCTATGAAGGCTTCCGGTAGCACCACGAGCAAGCGACCTGACTCCACGGACAATCAGACCGAATCTGCCCGGCCTGTTCCAGAAGCATTGGCGCGTCGGATGACATTGCACAAAACAGGCCCCTCAAGGGACAAGGTGCAACTAACGGCCTCTTCTGACGATACTGGGAAGTCAGGGCCACCTGCACGAGGATCTCAGGTCCGGCTCGAAAAACCTGTCTTGCCAAAGAAGGACAGCTCCTTACCTTTACAACGCCCTGCTGTTGATGCAGAAAAGCCCCAACCAACCGGCCTTAACAAATCGGAGGTCATTCCTGCCGTAGTATCCCCAAGCAAGCTTGCGTCAACATCTCACAAGGTTGAAGTTCGCCCAACCACGGCCTTGTCCCCTAGAGAACCTGTTTCGGATCCTATCACGGCGGCAAGCTCCAAAGTGACAGTTCCAGAGAACAGTAAGATTGCGGCTCGGCTCAATCCGGCGCTCGCAGGTCTTCTTACACGCACCGGGAGTCCTAGGTTGCCGGGAGATTCGTCGTCGATGGAAAGAGGCCAAGGGATAGTCCGGGAGACTCAGCAGACTCACCATCAAGATGTCGGCGGCGAGTCTGCCGAACTGACCCACATGACAAAGGCACGAGCAAAAGGCCCAAAGAGGCGAGCACCCAAGTCGAGCACTTCGAAAGAGCCATCTAAGAAGGAAGTTGCTGCGCCAGGGCTAGCAACGTCAGAGGTGGCCTCAAAGCCGCCTTCTGCAGCACCGCAGCCTTCACTGGAGACCAGACCAGCAGCTCCTAACAATCTGCCATTGCGTCCTCTTCGTGGCGCCGCAACTTGGGCGGGGTCAGACGCAAAGACAGATGGCAAGACGGAAAAGAAGCCAGCGGTGATCACCCGAGAATCGTCTCCGGCCGTTCCAACATCCAAGTCGCAAGCGCCACAGGTAACGCCTACTGGAAGATATGATGCTGGGTCCGTTAAGATATCAGACCCCGCACATGAATTGGATTCAAGCACCAGAGCCAAGCCGCCCGTCGCCAACAAGTCGGCAGAACTTCGAAAAGTGTCGAATACGGCTGGCGCCCCTAAGCCGAGCGAGAAAGCAAGTCCGGCCAAATCGTCTACTCCTAAGAGGTTTGACGTTCTGACCGATCGTCCTACCTTGGTCTCATCTCCTCCTGAATCGGATGGTGAAAGAAAAGTCGGGTCAATGGGCCCCTCGGTTCCCTCTGCTTTGCCATTGACCCCAAGCAAGTCCAAACTCAACACGCCAAAACCGTCTAAGCCTTTGCCTCATCCTTCAGCGAAATCAAACCCGGCCACTCCCTCGAGTAAGATCAGTGGACTTGGTCTCAAATTTGAGTCTGCTTCGAAGAATCCCGCCACTATGCCTGAACTCACACCGCCACCCGAGCCAGATGTTGTTAGTCCTTCTCGAATGGCTGTGTCTTCCAGCGTGAACCCGTCACCAACGAAACCGAACTTCGCGCTAATCCGTCAGCTCGAGGGCTTCTTTGGTGTCTTACCACAAGCGAGAGAAAAGGCGGATTTTGACACTCACGGCTTCCTATCTTCTCAACACAATGGTGCGGAGAAGACCAAAACTTTGAGTAATCAGATCTGGGAGGTGACGGGCGACGGTAAAAGAATCGCGATGCCACCCCAACAGGAGCACATTCTGTTTGAGGATTGCATGTACTTGTGTGTGCACTCGATGCAATCATCCAACGGCTCGAAAGTCGTGGAGGTGTATCTGTGGTGTGGGGATGAAGTGCCAGCGGCGGCCATTGAGGATGCGCAGCTATTTTGCAGGAAGGTCGCCCGTGACAACAGCTCGAGGCTGCAGGTGGTAAGACAAGGCAAAGAGAGCTCCGAGTTCTTCCAGGCACTGGGCGGCATTGTCATTATCCGCCGAAACAAATCCTCGGCCTTGTACATGCTTTGCGGAAGACGACACCTTGGCCATGTGGCGTTCGATGAGGTCGATCTGATCCCTACTAGCCTATGCTCTGGTCTACCTTTCTTGATTTCTGCCAGATTTGGAAAGCTCTACCTCTGGAAAGGGGCTGGCAGTGATCCAGAAGATGTCGGATGCGCTAGATTGATTGGCATGGATTTAGGCCTGACCGGAGAAATCGAGGAGATCTCGGAGGGCGAGGAGCCTCCGAGTTTCTGGGAGTCATTCCCTTCCGGGACAGTGAGACGTGCAGCGGGACAAGGACACAAGACTGCAGGACAGTTCCGTGGGCGTCCTTCGAAGTTATACCGGGTGGAGCATGACCGGCCCAAGTCATCCGGAGGATTCTGGGGACTGCGGGCATCGTCGCCGCCGAAGCAATCACCTAAAGCGTTGGTCGAGGAGATTGTACCATTCACGCAGAATGACCTCGACGCCAACCACATCCACATCCTGGATAGCTACGGCGAGGTCGACGTGTAAGTTCACTCCACTCATTCAGACTGTGGTGCGCGGCGATACTGACACTGCTCTCGTTTAGGCTCGTGGGTGCGTCCGCCAAAAAGCCTGCCGAATTTGTCACCGCGGTCCAGATTGCCCAGGAGATGGCCGTTCTGTCGCCTTCGGTGCAAGACCGGCCTGCGCTGCCTTCTTGTTTTGTCGTCCTAGGTGATCCTCCTCCGCACGTCAAAGCTGTCTTCCGGAAGTGGACTCCGCAACGAACCAGCCCTTCGCCAGGAGCAGGAGCGTCGTATGTACGAGTGCAAGAAGTAATGCAGGAACTAGGGATGACATTGTGAACGGCCTGGAGCTTTCTTGTTCTCTTGTATATATCTTCGCTTACCAGATTTTATGGAAAAGTTTACGCAGGGAGCGGGGGGCTTTATCGAAGGAGATGGACTGGTGTTGCCAACACATGGAGGATGATGTGTGCTGCTTGTTCCGCAGGACGTGACATGATCTTGCGACGGAGCTATGTACACAATCAAGCCATAAGATGACTTCAAGTGACTTTCACTGTGCTTACCGTAAGGATATGTCCCATGTCCCAGTTCCTCCGAGGCGGTTGAGGTTGAGGTGTCGTTGAATCGCAGCCAATGAGGAGGCCTGCTGACATAATGCAGCCTCGGCTGAGCGCATCATGATTTTCGTGCCGGTTCAAAGATTCAGGCAGGGCTTCAGCCATCGTCTACTTTCGCCATCGCCGTCGCCATCGCTTTTACCTGACAGAGACGCTCGAACAATGCATTGACCTCGAGGTTAAAGCCATACAATCCCAGCAACATGGACTGGGCCGCCTCTAAGCTCTCGCGCCCGAAACCGAACCCCGCGCCCTTGTCCTCCGGTCCTGGCCCCAGCGCCCACATTCATCTCGATGCCAAACTGCAACGCGAACTAGCTCGCCTGGACGACTCGATCCCCTTCAATCCCGTAGCCCGCCATTTGCATCACACGTGGGCGCAGACCTTCTTCTCTCGCCCGGAACTCTACTTCCAGCCGTCGTCGGTGCCGGAGCTGCAGAAGATCGTGACCCTCGCGCGAAGGTGCCGCAAACGGCTGTGCGTCACGGGTTTCGGACATTCGCCTTCTGATCTGACCTGTACGTCGTCGTGGCTGGTCAACCTCGACAACCTGGCCGAAGTGCTCGAGTTTGACGTCGACCACACTCCCGGCCTCGTTCGGTTCCAAGCCGGCCTCTCGTTGCATAATCTCAACCTTGCGCTGGCCAAGCATGGCTACACGCTGCCCAACCTCGGCTCCATCGACGTGCAGTCTGTCGCCGGTGTCATCTCGACCGGCACCCATGGCTCCAGTCTGAAGCACGGCTTGGTCTCGGAATCCATTACCTCGCTCACGGTCCTGCTGTCCAACTCGCAACTCGTGACGTGTTCGGCGACCAAGAACCCGCAACTCTTCCGGGCGGCTCTGCTTTCGCTCGGCTCTCTGGGAATCATTGTGGAAATCACCCTGCAAGCCGTGCCGGACTTCAACGTCGCCTGGTCGCAGTCTCTCCAAACCCTCTCGTCCGTGCTGGAGTCGTGGGATACCGACCTCTGGACGCAGAAGGAATTCACTCGCGTCTGGTGGCTGCCGTACTTGGGCCGGGCGGTGGTCTGGCGCGGGTCCAAGACCGACTCCCCGCCGCGGGCGCCCAACAGCAGCTTCTACGGCGGGGCTTTTGGCTACTACGTCTACCACAATCTGCTGTACCTGTCCAACACGTTCCCGCGCATTCTGCCATGGATCGAATGGTTTGTGTTTGGCATGCAGTACGGCTTCAAGCCGGGCTCCTTCATCACGTCGGCCGTTCAACCCGCCCGCGAGGGCCTGTTGATGGACTGCCTGTACTCGCAATTTGTCAACGAATGGGCGCTGCCGCTCTCCAAAGGGCCCGAGGCCATTGCCCGCCTGGCTGCCTGGATCAACCACGACGACGAGACCGCGCGGATCCCCATCTCCAGCAAAGGTGTCTGGGTGCACTGCCCGGTCGAAGTGCGCGTCACACATACCTCGCGCAACGTGCCCAACCCGTCCGGCGTGCGACCTTACCTTGACCCCACCGTTCCCGACGGGCCCACGCTCTACCTCAACGCGACGCTGTACCGACCGTACGGTCGCGACCCGCCCTGTCACGAGCGCTACTACCAGGCCTTCGAGTACCTGATGCAGGAACTCGGCGGGCGGCCGCATTGGGCCAAGAACTTTGCGTACACGACCAGCGCGCAGTTCGGCGCCATGTACGGCCAAGACATGATCGACTTCCTCCAGGTCCGCGACGAGAGTGACCCAGACGGCATGTTCTTGGGTGAATGGCACAGGAGGACTCTCCCGCTCAACGTCGGTGCCGGTGCCGGTACCCAGGACAGCGAGGGCCAGGCCAAGGCGAAGACCAAGTTCCCCTTGATGGAGGAAGAAGTGCGTCGGTCGAAGAAAGGTCTCGGCTGGGGATTTGGAGACGGATTACTCTGGCAGGGTCGACAAGTCAGCGGGCCAAGTGCGGGAGATGGAGACGACGATGACGAGGGTGATTTGTCCGACGAGAACTCCAAGGCTGGCGACGCTACGCCCAGTCCTCCTGCCACCACGACCAGTGAGGAGTCGTTCGACTATATGGCCAAAGGGGAAGCCAGTGTGTATGCCGAGAGGGATGGTTGATGGCCAAAGGGGATGCCAGTGGTAATGCCGAAAGGGATGGTGGATGGCTAAATGGGAGGCCAGTGTCTATGCCGAGAGGGATGGTTGAGCTGACTTGTTAGCCGATTGACTGGCTGCACAGGCTGAGGTTGAGATGGTCGGGAAGGAGGAGGAGGGAGGAGAGAGGAGGGAGGATGGAGGGAGTGAAAGAATGAAGAATGAAGGATGAAGGATGAATGTCGTTGATGGATGAACAGGGTGATCTGATTGATCCTGACCCATCAACCTCTCTCGACGCACGTTTGATGCCTGTCTACGTTGCTCTGCCGTCTACGCTCTGTAACGCTTTACGCTATACTTGACGCCGTCTCTGTCGAGTGCGTCACTCTACCGCCTACCGTATGTTGCTACTGTCTACCTAAAGGTTATGGAGATCCTCTACGTAGTGGCATTAGTAGTGGCATAGAGGGGATCTTATGTTAATGTTATGTTGCTCTTAGTTAGTACGGATACAAGGAGTATAGTGAGACTAGTTCTAATACTAGTCCTAATTAAGATTAGCTTTTCTCTACTAGTAGGCACTAGGCCGACTTGGGGAAGATTCACGTCCTAAGTACTAACGCAGTATGGAGTGCAGTCAAGCAAGTATAACTAACGTGAATGAATCACTGCCATCACTGCAATCAAGACAATAACTACAATAACTGCCATCACCGTCCTATACCAGGCAGGAATAGTTGGATCTGGTAAGCTTGAAATGATTGATGATGCTAAGGATGGTAAGAGTACCGCCTTGAGAGAGAGAGCATGTATGCCGAGAGAAGCAAACAAAGGCACAAAGCCACTACTGCGTGCTTTCACTGCTTGATCCTTCGCTTGCCCATCAAGCTGCAAGCGGCAGTGAATCCACTCTACCTTTTACCTCCTACTCTCTACTACCTACTCTCTACCATCTACTCTCTACCATCTACTTTCTACCCTCTACACCTGACAGTCCACAATTGCCAGCTCAAGGATTAGTCTCGACCATTGTTCTGCATCCTACAATCGCTTACATCCCAGCAAAACCATGGCCGATTCAGCATCAACGTCAAGCTTATCCTCATCCTCATCCTCAACGCCCGAGTCGAATCCGAACCCTCCCACCCTTCTCACTCTCCCCGTCGAGATCCGACTGCGGATCTATCAATTTGTGTTTGGCGGTAAGATATCACTCGATTTTCATGAGTACCATAAATTGCACGGAGCAGTAATAGCATATTGGACCAGATCCCTCGGTCTTCTGAGAGTGTGCAAGAAAATCAACGAAGAGGCCCAGCCGGTTGCGGATTCGTGCCCAATTCATATTTACCAGGCTGGGAGAGGCATGTTTCCATCTGCCGGTTTCTTTTCCGAGATCCAGCATCGCGTTCAGAGTGCTACCTTCGGCATGCACTCCATAGCCTGCTGCTGGAAATCTGGACTCCAATTGCTTGGGCTATTTCCGTCTGTAAAACTGCTCAACCTCGACAAGGACTTGGGGTCCCGCGTCTGGTGGCCGACACGCTTTCGCTGGGAGATAAGCATGCCTGAGTCAAGCTTCATTCCGATACTAGACTCCGGCGTCAGCGTTGTCTCTGACAAGTATGATGCTCTTTTCAGCCTAGTTGGTCCAACTCACATTGACAAGGCAGAGTTGTGCAGACAATGTCTGCAACATTCTGATCTCACCATTCGTCTTCTATGCAATATCAGACTACAAACAGATCTCCACATGGGTGGTGTTGCCAACCCAGTTGTGGCACAAGCCGTAAGTTTCCCCTCCTGCTCAGATTGTGCGGTTACAGCTAGCTAACAAACTCTCAGGATATCGTATGGAACCAGGGTGAGATGAAATTGACCAATATCAAAGACTGTAGAAATGACAAGACACCGGTGGGAGATCCGGTGGGCACCACATTATTCGACCCTTTTAGAGAATGAACATGGATTTCCATCTCCAGTGGAGGCTTTTCAGTCGACAGAATCGGTCAGATAAAGATCCAAGACACCTGAGGTGGCGACGTGCTGCCCATACGGAGTTTGGACAAGATTAGAAAGAAAGGCAGACAAATTAGCAGGAGGAATGAAAGGAAGGAAGAGAGGGAAGAGAGGGAAGAGAGGGAAGAGA